CGTGGAATAGGGGAACAGACCTCCAACGAGAGACTTAGTAGAAGCGAGGGTGGAGGTTGGGAAAAGGGAGGCTGGCTTGCCTGCATGTTCTACATAATCTGAATGGGGGATAGAATGGGAAGGCTAGCCGAGAGAGAAGGGAGAAAATAGGTCAGTCAACTCATTCCCTAGTCCCTCAGTAGTGGTTATAGGAGCAGTGGACAATGTTACCTACATTAGACCGGCATGTTGGCAAGCACCTTGAGCTACCACTGGCCAAAAGCCTCCCCTTTGCAGGAGGGCGCTACAGCTACCGTCTTCCCCCGAACAAAACGCAGCCTAAAAATGAATGTATACAAGCTATATTTCCGGCCAGATGCCGCCAAAATAAGGGTGCGTTGTGTTCGGGGGAAGACGGTAGTTGCAAACACAAGCTACATACATACACAAGCTACAAAACACAAAGCTGCAGTATGCGGCCAGTACATCTACATCTTAGGACGTAATTCTGCATAATCTGAACAAATAAATGTGCACAATGTTCAGGGACGCTGGACCCGCTTTCCAGCAGGTGATGCCCCCCACCAATAGAAGGGGCCTCCCCGACAGTGCTAGTGGTGTCTGCTCTCACCAGCACCCCTAGCACCAACTCGGTTTTTTTTTTTTTTTTTTTTTTTTTTAAAGAAAAAAAAAGGAGGGCCTTGGCCCCTGATGTATGGATCTATAACTACTGGGGCTGGGGCGCTTTGATGACCTCCAGTGAATGTCCATTGACTCTCCAGGAAGTTTCCAGTGGCATGTCTCTGTTTGCTGAAAGAAATGAAACATGTCCTTAAACCACCAGTACATGGCCCCAGGCAACTGGAAAACCCCGTTTTGAGCCTCTCCAAAAATTTAGGAGGCTGAGCGCCGTAGATAAAATGAACTGGTGGCAGGCGGCCAATAGCTGGCATGTACTGGTGCTTTAAGACCCCTCATGGACGTGTGACACCTGTACAACCTTGCGTTAAATGTTACCATCCATTATTTCTATGGAGGAGGGCCTTGGCCCCTGATGTATGGATCTATAACTACCACGGCTGGGGCTCTTTGATGACCTCTCCAGTGAATGTCCATTGACTCTCCAATAACTTTCCAGTGGCATGTCTCTTTTTGCTGAAAGAAATCGAACATGCCTTACGGACATGCGACACCTGTACAACTTGTGCATTAAATGCTATCATCCCTCAAGATTGAGTCATTTTTTGAATTTTTATTTTTATTTTTTTTAAGCCCAGGGTGTTGATTTTGTTTTGACGATGTCTACTCTGATACTGTGTTGACTGCTTGTCGAGCACGTACCTGTACTCACTTCGTTCTTTTCTGGTTTTTCTTTTTTTGGATACTTTATTCTAGTTGTAGAGCCACAGCCAGGCTTCCCTTCCACAGCCAGTCAGAAATAATAGGCAAATAACGCTCCTTACAATTCTCCTGTGTGAATTTCAATGTCAACTGTTTCCTTCGTTTTTTTCTTTTTTTTCTTTTTTTTTCCCACTCTTAAACCACCATTCTTCGGAGGCCGAGTGCCACCAGACCAAAATGGCTGGCAGCACCAGCCAAAACAAAAAAAGAGGGCGTGCTGGGGCGTGGTCCCACTAGCAAAGAGGATCGGATCGAATGCCTGAATGTGGATGAGTTTATGGAGATGTGCAGAGAATCGAGATTGAACTGCTTTTCTGCATCTCTGCTTAAAACACATCCAGATTCAGGAGCTCCATCCTATCCTTTTTGCTAGTGGGACCTCGGCCCTGGTGATTCGGTCAAAGGTTTCCGAGCTGCTGCAGTTCTACTCCGCCTTTGCGAAAAGAGGCTCGGAGGTAGTGGTTGTTTCATGTTGCACAGTTTGCAGTGGATTTTTTAACCATCGGCCGAAGGCCACCACCGCTTCCCTTTTTCTTTTTTCGTTTTCTTTTTCTTTTTCTTTTCCTTTTTTTTGTAATTTTGTTTTAAACTACGCTATGTTAATCTCCCAAATCTTTCATCATCTTTCAAATTCTTTCAATTCACTTTCTTCACTACCCTACCTACCACTACTCCTAACTTCCTAAGGCTTATACAGGGGACCCCCTGCAAACATAGCTTTGTTGTCTTCCTCCAGCCATCAGAGGGGATGCATGTTGGCCCCCTGCCCCCCCAACCATGGTGGTCAAGGATGGGGTGGGGCTGCCGGTGGGGGTCCGGCTAACGCAAAGACTCAGCATTTTGCCAGTAGGTGAGGTGCAGCTACTGGCAAAATGCTCTTTTTCTTTTGGGGTAACGTGTTCCAATTGCACGATGGGGCAAGATACAGTTTGCAATTGCACTTCGGGCACCCTACCTGGCCAGAAGGATGGGTTGTATACATTGCCCGAACTACAATTCGAAACTGTATCTTGAGATTCTTGGCCCATAGTGGAATTATAACTCGTTTTCGTGACTCCCGTTTTTGTGACTCCCGTGTTTTCCTTTTCTTGTGTTTCTTTTGCTTTTCTTTTTTGAGAAAAGCATTAGGTGCAGTGCTTCAGTCCTGAGCCCCTGGTAAGAGTGTACGCAGGATTGAGTTGTCACACTGGCTGCCGCCTCCTTTCTATAGGTGCGGGGGGACCACCACCTTTTACAAAGCGGCTCCATTGTCCCTCATGCATCTGTATAAGCTCAGTACTGGGACCTTTACCCACCTTCCGTTGTTCAGACGTGAACATTTTCCTAGAAGGACCTTTTGAGGCCTTTTTTTTTTTTTTTTTTTTTTTGCAAAAACATCTGTGCCAGCCTGCTATTGCTGGTGATACGAGCATCCTCCAATAGCAAGCCCCAGTTTATAGATGGCTCCAATCTATTGGTGGGGAGCATCACCTCCTGGAAACCGGGTCCAACGTCCCACTGACAAGATCAGAGAAGGTATACCTGGCAGAACATCATTGATTGCCCGCTCACGAGGGGATTGACTGTCCGCCTAATTAGCAGCCAGGTCACAGCATGTATCAAGGCCTAGCCCTGTAGAGGGTGACAAGCTGTCTTCCAATCTACCCTAATCGAGGTCCCTTCGTATGTTCACGTGCTGCAATTCCTATCTCAACAAGTTTTTCATTCGTGTCACTTTCAACCCGTGATAAAGCCTTTGTTCTGCGCTACTACGGACAAGTTGCAAATAGCAGCACGTGTCGGACCTAATATGAGGGAATTACCACGCTTGGTGCTCACAATCCGATGTGTGGGTGGGTAAGCACTTAGTCTCTTTATGTGTTGCATTGCGCGCGTTTATTTATTTTCTTGAAAACGTTACTGATTATATAAGTACATGGTTGCACTAGCCCCCATGCGATTTGTAATCTTGATCGTTCTTGCAAAATAGGCATCTATTTTCCCGGAAAAGATTGGGGACCTGGCTCCGAAATTTCTTCTAACCTCCTTATGCATGATCGATGCATACTCACCATGTGCAACGATCATCCTAAGTAATTTGTATACAATATAATTGAATATATGCATCCCTAAACCGCGTGAATATCAGTATTCCCCAGGAAAAATTGCCTCTCGGTCAAAGAATTACGTGCGAAATACAGGATTGAATTACCCTAAAGATTCCATGAGTTCCCCCCAAAATCGGATTTTAGATGGCGTGGGTAAATCTTGTGTCTGCCTGACAGGTTTAATGGGGATACGCCGATGGATTATGTCGGGGCTTGATGGTGGTATGGGTCCCATATCGCTCTTCAACATGATGTTCCAACACATGACATACCATAACACACACACACACACACACACACACACACACACACATGCGCGCGCGCGTGCATGCGCGCCCCATCTCTGCTGGATTGCGGCAGGCTGGTTGCTCCTTACCAGCAAGCAAGTTCAGACAGCAAGAAAGAAGAAGAGAAATAAAAGAAAAATAAAGACGAAAGAGAGAGCCACTCCCCTGTCTCTAGACGCCTAAAGGCCCAAACAGACCACAAAAAGGGGCCGGGGTTGCTATTACGCACCTGGGCCCTTCCTCCGGCGGTTCTAAAGAGTTGCCCATGCTGGTCGCGAAGCATCCCAACGATACCCGGACACACAGCTTGGACATCCCTAGAATTGCCCTAGCCTGGGCCAAGGTGATAAGACAGAAGCAGCAGGTGCCGCTCCCCACCAATAGTTGGAGCAGCCCGCGAGCCAAGACCTCAATCCCGGCGGTTCGCTTACCATCACCAGAATAGTGGACTTGCGAAAGGGCTTCTTAAAAGAAAAAGAAAAGAAAAAGAAAAGAAAAAAAGAACAAAAAAAGATAACAGCAGTCCACCGGCTGAAGATTACGCTCTAGCAATGTTCCAGATTTTTCAATACCTCCCCCTACGAGACCGAGACATCCCCCCCCCCTGCTTACCACCCCTCCCACTCAGCCCCCCTCAAGTTTTAGCATCCCATTGAGTTTCCTACAACCTTCTCTCTCCTTATCCTTTGCCATTCCCTCCATATTTTGCACTCCTAGGCTCCTAGCATATTTTCCTGGCTTTTCCTCTTTTCTTCAATTTTGCAAACAAGCTACCCAACCTCCCCGTAATATCGAACCCCTTCCCTGGTTGCCATTCTCCAAATCGTCCTTCCCTCCTAAATACCTTCTCCCTGTCCTTCAAATTAACCATGCTTCGATTTTCTCACAACATTGCCGACTCTCTCTCTCTCTCTCTCTCTCTCTCTCTCTCTCTCTCTCTCTCTCTCTCTCTCTCTCTCTTTTTTGGTTCATTTCAGGTGCGTCAGAGGATGGATCCTCCCCTCTGTACTAGAGTGATCGTGCGCCGAGCAGCCATTTGTATTCAAAGAAGTTGGCGGGGGTTCTTGATAAGGAACCGTCTGCTCATGCTGTCTGGATTGAAAGAGTTAATACGGCGCGTGAACGGTCACCTGGAGCTGAATCTTACTCGAAAGGCAAGGATGCAATTGGCTAAGTATTTAGAGAGGCCACCTCTCGCCTGTTTTCGTGAGAAGAGGATTAAATTTGCATTGGATGACAAGTCAAGATGTCATATCGTCTACGACCCTCCGTTCACGTCATCAACATCCTCCAGATCATCAGTGGCTCTCCGTCAGGGTCTTCCGCGATGGGTAGGTCCTGTTGAGTTTCCTGTAGTGTATATCGACGGCCAGAAGGACAGTGAGAAGAATCTGGAATCGGCAGGGCTGGCAAGGGGTGTGAACGCAGAAGAGGGGGAGAACACTACAACCATAAGGGCCGAGGCAATGGAGGCTAAGGGGAAGAGGGAAAGTCTCAGTGAAGGAACAAGGCCTTTGGACAAGGTGGGAATGGTGGCTGCTAAGTTCGAGCGTCAGTTGACGTCATTCCTATTGAAAGGCTCGGGACGGATAGATCTTCCACCGAATGCAAAAGATAGATTCGTGGAGTTGATGAGCACGATAAAAGATGGGGTGGAATTCGTCGAACAGCCTAGAATGGATGACCTCTCTCTCTCTCCTGAACCTGTTTTGTCCGGTGGTAACCCCGACGATCCCATATGGCCTTTCACATCATCATTTGCATCCCAGGGAGGATCGCACAGGGAGTCGCATAGGGAGTCGCACAGGTTGTCGCGCAGGGAGTCGCGCAGAGAATCGCTTTTGTCTCCTAGAGCTGAACGAAAGTCGCTGATCATGAAGTTTGTGTCACCCGAGGAAGCATGCAGAAGGGCAATCATTCTCTTCATTCTGACATGGGACCCAAAGGTGTAGTCCACGAACTCTGCCTTGCCAAATTTCCACGTGTTTTCGTGTGAATTCTTTCCGTCCAAAATGAAAGGAAAAGAAACCATTTAAAACAGGGGGGGAGGGGGGGGGGACGCCTTCCTCTTTGGAAAAACAAAGACAAGAAAACGCCGCCTTCTGTCCTGCGGCATTACTTGATCACTGTCTTCAGAGTGTGGGCATAGCAGAACCACCCGCTTTTCCTCTGGTCAGGGAAACTCAGCTGTGAGCTGCTGACCCCAGGGCTTTTTCAGATGATCTGGATGGCTGTGTCACCTCTGTGTGTGTGTGTGTGTGTGTGTGTGTGTGTGTGTGTGTGTGTGTGTGTGTGTGTGTGTGTGTGTGTGTGAGTGAGAGAGAGTGTGTGTGAGAGAGTGTGTGTGTGTGTGAGAGAGAGAAGAGGTAAGTCTTCAACCACGAGGCTCACCTCATGGCACTTCCATCAACGATGTGATGAGCACAACCGAATGAATCTACGGCTGCAACGTGGAAATATACACTGCCACACTTTTTGTTTTGTTTTTTTTCTGTTTTTTTGTATGTNGTGTGCGCGCGTGTGTGTGTGTGTGTGTGTGTGTGTGTGTGTGTGTGTGTGTGTGTGTGTGTGCGTGCGTGTGTGTGTGTGTAAAGAGGGAAGGGCCCAGAAGCCTTCTCTGGGCAGAGAGAAATGGATGCCATGAACTACTGGAAACAAGGTCCCAAGTCCCTTAGTACGGACTCCACGCATCTCTCCGTTATGGCCAAGAGAGAGATCTTGAGACAGATTGCTTATGGAAAATGAACAATTTACCACTGCTCCACCCCTATTTTCTCTGGACGATTACCTCAATCATTTCTTCCCTTGCAAGCAACTTCTTCGTTTTTTTTGGGCTTTTCTTTCTTCAGAAAGAACTTCAGTCCTCCGTTATAAGGCTGGAAACCGGGTCCAGCATCCCTTACATGAATGACACACTCCGCACTTCCTTTCAGTATGGCTGATGAACCCTGAGACAGCGGCATTGATTGCTCCCGATCAGGAGGATTTACCACTTCTCTACCCCTGTGTGAGTCATCCTAGCAGAAGCTAGTCAGCTTTGCGTTGTCTGAGGCTATGCTATTATTGTATGGGAAGTGTCTTGCAAGCAACTTGTAAATTGCTCGTTTCAGCCTTGTTTTACTGTGTAACTTCCGTGTTTGCCCCTAGAGCTCCTGCTCGTGCCTGTTGAAGCAAGTCGTCTCTCTTTTCTTTTTTCCAGCTTCTTGTCCCTTTCCTCGCCTTAGAAACGAATTGGGATCTTTCTCTCTTAAACCACTACTACCTCCAAGCCGACTTTTGCTGAGGCAGGAAAGAACTGCGCGCTAAGCTTTGCCGAAGTGCCAGCTGTGAGGAATGAGCCCTCACGAGGCCCCTCTCGGGCATGCAAATGTTCTGGGCTGCGGTCCCCAGCAAGCCTTGTGGCCGCCCTAAGTGAAGGTGGGCCTGTACTTCCACGAGAGGCCTATTTTTGACATTTTTCATATGTGGGGTATCAGACAGTTGCCGGACGCCAGTCGGTTACAGAGCAACGAGAGCTTTCTGTGGCTCCTTCCAGAAGCAACAGCTGCGCTGTACAGTTGAGCCGAGGGCTCAGGTGGTTGAGCCATGGGCACACACAGTGGGAGGCCTCCACATCACGCAGTGGCCATGGACCAATGAGAATGCAGCATTGTCGTCACACATCTACCACGAACCAATGAGAATGCGGCAAACATTTGGAGCCTGGAGGGCTACCTGGACGTGCCTAACTGCACGAGGCCCAGGCCAGTATCTGAGACTGTGCCTGGGCGCAGACACTTGGGGCCAGCCTGAAGCTACTAGGCCCCTACACGCCTGGCCCAGACCAGCCAGCAGCTGGGTGAACTCTCCATAAAGGAAAGTGTGCGCCCCTGGGCAGGGCATTCTGGCCTGAGCAGGCAATGTGGCCACGCTGCTGCTTTGCCTTGTGATACTGCGCTGAGCAGGCAGGCCAGGGCACATGCGGGTGCAAGAGGTGAGAGGGCGCTGTGGTGGCAGCGTTCGCATGGCGGCCATAGCCGGGCTGCGCGTGCGGGTAACGGGTGATGCCGATGGTGGTCTTCGGGTAGGAGGCTCATGCAGAGGGGGACAAGGTGTGATGAGGGGAGGAGAGAGAACGTACCTGGTGTATGCTGGCGGTCTGCATTTGTTACATGCTGCGCCCGCAACAGGCTGCATGGGCCATTTCCAGGCCCGTGACGTTTTCAGGCCAAAAGCCTGAAAACAAGGGCCTACAGGCCCTGCGTCGTTTCAGTCTGAAAGCCTGAAAACAAGGGCCTACAGGCCCTGTGT